GCATGGCATGTGGTGCCAGGGATAGAACCCCAGTCCCTGCACTTGCTTAAGCAGGCACTTAGTCCACTGAACCATCTCACTGGTCTTTCCACCCAGCTTTTAAGGTAAGTACTCATGGTTTATGTCCTTTCTTTGACATTCTCAAGGGAGACCAGCTCCTACTTCTAAAAGAACACTTACACCAAAGGCTAAAACTGCTATAAAGTTAATCAGGCTCTTTCTCATGCTCAGCTCTCTAGAGTTGACCCATCTTTGCCAATGCTTTTACTTATTTTTCCAACTCAGTATGTGCCCACTTGGGTTCTTTGGCAGTCTCAGGGTCCCTTACAATGGCTGTATATGCCATATACTACACATAAAAACTATTACTCTCCTTCATGATGCTGTGGCAGAACTGATTAGCATGTGGATGAATGTGTACAATTTCACTCCCTTGGTCATGAGATGTAAACTATCATTGTTACCTTTTCTTCAGTTCAAGAAAAATGGTTATGACAATTTTCATCATTTTGGCAATCTGTACTGGCTAACTTCCCTGGTGTTATTGTCATTATCCCTCAGATAAATTAATACAATTTGCTTCTCTTTCACCCTTTGTCTTCCCTTCAAAAACAAGTTCAGTCCCTATAGCAGGGGGCATCTCCAACTTCATGGATGCACTGACTTCAGGTTAGGAGAGGTTACATAATAGCCTCCTTTTCCAGAATACAGGGCAAGGTTTCTCTTCTGCACAAACGACTGAATCACAAGCAGTCATATGGGCATTGCAGTATCATTCATCCACTCCAATTAACCTGTTTTCAGACAGCGCTTAGGTCTGTACTGTAATGCACTACATTGAAACTGCCACTATACACACTGGTCAAGAAGATCTTTTTCATTTACTTAACACTCTCCAAGTTGTGATACAGTCATATCATGTTCCGTTTCATTGGTCACATACGCTCTCATTCTCAATTGCCAGAACCCCTCACTGAAAGGAATGCTACTATAGACAGATTGCTGGGTGCTGTGACTATTACTCCCTCAGATACTATTCAACAGGCTTCTGCGTCTCATGCCACCTTTTGTCAAACTGCTTCTGCTTTATGCAAACAATTTCATTTGACCCGAAAACAGGCCCAAAAATTGTTAAATGATGTTCCTCGTGTATAACACACCTACCCTCACCTTCTACGGTGGTCAAGCCCTGGGGGTTATGCCCCAATCATCTTTGGCAGATGGATATTGCACACATTCCTGGATTTGGTTCTTTACATTGGGTCCATGTTTCAGTGGACACTGTCTCAGGATTCATTTTTGTATCTGCCTGCTAAACATGTCATTGCTTACTGTTTGGATGCCATTAATGCCCTTGGATGCCCACAGACACTTAAGACTGACAGTAGCCCAGCATATACAAGTGTTGTCCTCCAAAAGTTTTGTAAAACTTTTCATATTTCCCTTATCACAAGGATTTCTTATAACCTTTAAGATGAAGGAATTGTTGAATGGGCTCACCATACAATCAAAATTCAATTACAGGGCTGGTGAGATGGCTCAGTGGTCTAAAGCACCTACTTAGAACAAGCTTAGCAAAAGCACAGGGACCGGGGCTGGAGAGATGGCTAAGTGGTCTAAAGCACCTACTTAGAACAAGCTTAGCAAAGCACAGAGACCACGGTTCAATCCTCCAGCACCACATGCCAGCCAGCCCGCCCCCTGGTGGGCTGAGCTGGCCACACACACACACACACACACACACATACATAAATAAAATTAAAAAAAATTCAATTAGAAAACAAAAGGGAGAATCTTTCCCTACAAAATTCATACCTCATAATAGACTTCACTTGGCAGCATACTATTAACTTTTTATATTCTACAAAAGATGAAAGTATAGTAGTAGAAAGACAATTCAATCAGGTAAGAGAAAAAAGACTAGGAAGGTTTTTTTTTTGGGCGGAAACGGGGATTGAACTCAGACCCTTGTGCTTGCCGGAAGCGCTTATTCTACTGAGCCATCTCCCTGGTGCCAGAAGGGTCTTTTAGAGAGATCTCCATACTGGGCAATGGAAGGGACCCAGTCCACTACTAACCTGGGGCAGAGGGTATGCTTGTGTTTTTCCAAATTATGCTAAATGACCTATTTGGGTACCAGAGCATGCTGTCAAGCTGTAACCATGAAGCCAGACCTGGAGAAGTTAACAGCAATGAGGCTAGATCCAACCTGGGGCTTATTGAAGGAACTTAACCAAAAGGTCTAAATATGTGATAAAACATACAAAATAAGGATTTTTTTTTTTTTGCTCCAAATGCCTTCAGGGCAGGTTTTGGCTGGCTGGAGTTGTGGGGATCGAACTACAGCAACCTGAGGCTGACAGCTTTGTGGAAGCAGCCACTTAAAGAACTGAGCTAGGGCCAGGC